CCGAAGCCGCAGGTGGCTAAGCTTGTTCGGAAGAAAGGTGGAGACCACTATGAGCTGGTCCCACCTCCTGCACCACGACCACCCTGGCCGTCCGAGTACTCTCTCGCCTGCATCTTGCCGGATGGCCAGGTTGAGCTGACCGATGATGGTGGTCACATCCGTCGGGTGCATGGCCACAACCTGAAGCTGTACCTCAAGAGCGACGTGGATCCGCTCTTGGAGGCACCTGTTCCTGCACCTCCCGGAGTATCCACCATGGGCATCCAGCTAAAAGACGGTAAAGAAGCGCTTGTGGGGAGGCAACCCCACCACGATGACTTTCTTTCTTTTGTTTTGAGTCGGATTGCAAACCGGTTGGGTTTTGGTTTGTTTTCTTTTGTTTTGGCTGATGTATTATTGGGCCGGGCATTGGACCTAACATCTTGTGTTTGAGTTCTTCTGCTCCCTTTAGCTGTGCTTTGTCCCAGACTGGTCCGCTTCCCGTCCCATGTAGTCCGTGCTCACCGGTAACATCGTTCCCTTATCTTTCCCTCTTCTCCATTGAGGGCAATGTCGATCTTAAGTGGGGGGGTGAAATGAAGTGAAAGAGCACCCCGGTACAACGAGTCCTTGGTTGTGAATGTTGTGAGTCCCTTTATCCATGAACTGCCAATTTCCAGCCACATGTGAGGGGGATTTTAGTTTTAGAGAGACAGAGCGATTCCTAGAGAGAGAAAGCGACGAAAAAGAGTTCCCAAGTGCCCTAGCTTGATCTTCATCACCATTGGAGCTTGGCTTGAGCTTGGAGGAGTGCCGATCAACGCCCAGGAGCAGAAATCAATCCTTCACAGTATGGTTTCCGCATATGAATATGCTTTTGCTTCTTTCTCCATGGAGTAGTTCTCCCATTCATCTGGGTATGGGAAACCCTAGATTTGTATGTTAGGTTTGGTTGTATGAACCAAAGTACAGATTCTATGATTTGATTATATTCAATTGAGGTTTGAATGATTGAATGGCAAGAATCCTGATCAAATTCTTGTTGTTTATGCTTTAACCTAAAATGAGAACATCTGTCTAGGTTGATAGAGCACCCTTAATTGAAGGTAGTGAATTGGCGACTTTAGTCGAGGAACCAATTCACTATTCTGTACCGAATTTACTTCGGTAGTGGAGGTTTTGTTCGTTAGGGCCTCAATCTGTTTACTCCGGTGGAGGTTAGTCGCCCGCTAGAGACTCAGATTGAGAGGGTCTGGAGACCTTTAGTCGAGACTTCAGACTGTTTAAGAACCTTCCGCAGTATAACTATCATAGAAACTGAACTTGGTAATTTCAATCCGGCTTAACTGCAGTCTAGGGGGAACCATATCCGGGTGACCTCTCTCGACTAGAAAACAACCGTTTAACTTGCTTTGTGTTTTTGTTTGTTTGAACCTGCACTTAATTTTTACCGCTAGATAATAAGAATTCACTGAGTAGTCATCAAATCTAGGACCCGGGTTGACATTAAAACCCAAACCCGCTATACTACGCTTTAGTAAGTGGTTTCACTTGGCCATTTTCTTGAGTGACAGTAGGAGTGAGTCAAGTTTTTGGCGCCGTTGCCGGGGACGGCTAGGTTGTTGAAGAAAAGTGATTTCTGTTAATTTACCTTTTCTTTTCGCATTGTTTGCTTTGTCCCACTTGTGCCTTCACGGGATTGCTTGCTTGAGTGTGTGCAGGTAGTGCATGACCCGTAGCCAGTCGGGAGGTTTACTGCCGTTGAATCCAGAGATTGAACGCACCTGTCGCCAACTCAGGAGACAACAGCGAGCTAGACTGGCTACGGAGGAGCGCATAGACGGCCACTTGAGCAGCGATTCTGAGGAAGAGTACGAGATGGAAGGAGATTCCAATCCACACCAGGGGAATCCTCAGCAGGCTCCCCCGGTGAATCAGGTCTTGGAGAACAACCCCATACCCCAGGCAGATGGGGTTCATCATCATCCACCGCCGCCGGGTCCCACCTCGGAGTACTACTACACTCCACGGATTGCTGACATCCGCCCGGTCCACCTATTCCAGCGAACAACTTCGATATCAAGCCATGATGGATTCAACTCATTACATCCTCTATCCAGTTCCATGGCTTGAAGGATGAGGAGGCAAGGGTACATCGTTCCCGTTTTCTGCAGCTGACGAACGGGTTCAAGCTGAACAGTGTCCCTAATGATGCAATCCGCCTTCACCTCTTCCCCCATTCTCTGGCGAGGAATGCCAAAAGGTGGTTGGAGACCCAGCCCCCATTGTATATTACTTCTTGGGATGATCTGGCAGACAAGTTCGTGCACAGGTACTACCCAGCATCGAAGACCACAGAGATCCAGCGGGAGATCACTCACTTCCGCCAAGAGCCAGACGAGTCACTTCGTGATGCATGGGAGCGGTACATGGGATATTTCTGGCAGTGTCCCCATCATGGCTTTAGTGATGCATTCACAGTGGGGAACTTCTACAGTGCTCTCTCTCCAGACAGCCAGAGGGTGATTGAGTCTCTATGCCCAGGAGGGGATATTCTTACTAAGACTCCACCCGAACTGAACCAGATGATCAGTACCCTGGCTGACAGAGATCATTCCTGGGGGCAGAGCAGCAGAGGAAGACATTCCCTGGACCGTGGTGTGCACGCCATGGAGACCAGATCCGGGCTCGAGCAGTAGGTGGCCGAGTTAGTGCAGACATTGAAGCAGCCCAATAGTCTTATTCCGGGCAGAGGATTGGCTACACCTCCAGTAGCTCAATGTCAGTGGTGTGAGAGCTCGAATCATCTGGTGGAGGATTGCCAGGCTATGCGGGAGTCCTCTACACCCCAGGAGCAGTTGGCCTTCATCGCCAATGCGCGGCGCCTCGATCCATACAGTAACACATACAATGAGGGGTGGCGCCAGCATCCCAACTTCTCTTGGAGCAGCAACACCACTAAACCACCTGGTTTCCCAGCACCAGCTGGTGGTTTTTAGCAGAGGCAGCCTTTCCAGGCTAGAGAGGGGCCAGCCCCACAGCAGCAGCCCTACCAGCCTAGGCAGGGGCAACCATACCAGCAGCCCCAGCGTCAGTATGCCAAGCCAGCAGCAGCTCCGGCTCCAGATAATCAGATGACATAGCTGGAAAATATTCTAGCAACATTCATGACTACCACTCAGGAAACTGTCACGAGGTGGACTAGACTATAGCCTCACTGGAGGCAGGCCAGAGGAACCAAGGTGCCATTTTGCAAGATCTACAGTACCAGATGGATAGCGTGGCTCTCCAAATTAATACCCGGGCCCCGGGAACTCTTCCTGCAACTCCCATCCCCAATCCACGGGAGCCGCACCAGCAGCTGGATGCCATTTTTACCAGGAGCGGTAAGACCATATCCGCTGACCCTGTCTCGGCCAAGCAGGAGGAACCACTACCTGCTTCAGCACTTCCAGCCGACGATGCAGAAGTGCGGGTGGAGAGGAAGCCCCTGCTCCCAAGCCACAATCAGTGGTTAAGGAGCATGTACCCCCAATGCAGTCCAAATCTAGATTTTAAGTAAAATCGAAAACTGAGGTAGAATCGAAATCGTAGATTAAAATCGTAAAATCGTGAGATTTTAAGGTTCATATTAAAATAAATACTTAAAACACTAGATAGTAATAAAAATAGATATCTTGAATAACAATCAACCACATAAAGCATAATTACTTCCCAAGATAAGTTTGTTTGCTAAACAAACACAACTAATCCATATATTTTTCTTGTACATAATAGAAACACACAAATAAGAAACCTGAAACATTATAGATATCACTTTTAATTAATTGTTAAGAGTAGAAAATCACATAAGATCGTTAGGATCAACATTAACATCACTTCCACATCCATAGGCGTCTCCGGACTCGACTGGCGCTCACCATCCCCCAAATTGGAACTCTCTGATCGGATAACATCCTCTCCTCCATTCTCCTCATCAAAGTTTTACGTGCGCCTAGTGACGATGTCCCCCCTACCTGGCGCGCCGATTGTTTAAGCCACAACACTCCGCACAGATCCTGCACAGACAAACGCCTAGTGGGCTTGGTTCTCACATTAGCACTCCGAAGCTTAAGTCAGAGTCTGCTTTTAGAGAGAGAAGTAAGCTGAGGATTTTAGTGAGAGAAGCCAACTTGCGTAAATGCTACCTACCGGGTAGTATTTATACTCGCCGAGGTCCCAACGGTCTTCCTGGCACTTCAACCCACGTTATCTCCTCATTTAATGCATGGTACAGTACAACAGTCAGGCGCCTATACGTGGTCGCTTCAACACGCCCCAAAAGGGGCGCCCAGCAGGGACCACAGTCGCCAGGTGGCTCCTTTCCCTGCTCGCCCTTCCGCACCCCTTGTCCTCATGCTTCTTTTGTCGTCATGCGCCTGCCCTACACTGAGAAGCCTAACCTATTGTTTGGGCCTGTTGAAACCTAACCTATTTCTTTTTGGGCCTGTTTCACTATTCTATCCTTATGGGCCTGAGCCTGTTTATACTTCCCCAACAATTGTCCCCCAGTTAGGTGCTCATAATCAATGGGCGCCTAACTATTGACCGATACACCTACCCCTTTCTTAGCACGCCTTTCACAATCGTGCCCACTTCTCGTGCGCCCCTTCAGGCTATTTCCTTATACGCTCTTGTCCCCCTGTGTCCCCCACTATGCCGTTTCCTATCATCTCTCTTTAGCAGGCGCCTATGCACTTCCACATAGCAGGCGCCTAACAGATTATACCCGCCCCCTCACCGTGCGGTTCAAAATTTGAAATTTGAAATTTTTTTTTGAAATTTGAAATTTGAAACGGACGGTGAGGATCTAATCTCACGGTCGGGCGCGTCTTCCAACATTAGCCCGTTGGACTCCCCGCCCATATCAATACGCCAGTCGCTTTGCTCTCCATTCATTCTCACGAAATCTCTCTCTCTAGCTTTCTCTCTCTAAACGCGGCCTCCTGTGCGCCTGTTGTAACATACAATAAAAAGCCAATATGTCTCGCCGATCCGACTCAGGCGCCCCCTCTTCTGATGCAATGAAAGATACCGGCTCGGCGCCTGATGTTCTGTCGGTGTTGGAGAAACATTTTTCCCCAGATCCCCTTCGCGAGTCGGGCGGATGGACGCCTCACGCCAGGAATCAGGCTCCTGGAAAGGATGATGCGCCCATTGCAGCTGTCACCTCGGAGGCGCCTACTAGGAAAGAACCCTTGATCGAGGCAGAGGAGACTCCTCACCCGCAGGCGCCGACAACAGATGTTGCACCCGATGCGGCGGCGCCATCAAACCCCGCACCGAGTAAGTGGTTCTAAAATCTTAAATCAACACACACTTTTTTTTTCTTTTTAGGCGCCCATAGCCACTAGGACTTAGCATTGACGATGGCCGTTTCCTCGAACCTTTTAGGCGCTGCGCCCAGATCTCCCCAATCGGCTGCGTTAGTGATGTCGCCGATGTCATCTGATTTGGGCGCCCCCGAGGATGGATCCGTCAAGATTAGGAGGTGGGTGGATACTTTCCCCTCGGGGCAGGCGCCAGTTGAGACCAGTCATTTGACCGTGATCGAAGCTGGTCCTGATCACGTTTCGACTGTGAAGGCGCTTGAGTTTGAAAACTTGGTCGTCTCCATGCAACTTCCTCTCACTTGGTCCTTTGCGCCCGCGCCCCGCGCGGCCCGAATTGGCGTGATTGGTCCCCGCTGGCTTGGTATTTACCGAGAATATTTTCGATTTGGTCTCCGCTTTCCCCTGGACCCGGTTCTTGAAGGCATATTGTCTACATGCAAGTGCTCCATTGGGCGCCTCTCTCCCTCCGTTTTTCTTGTCCATATTTTATTTAGACTTAAGTGTAGGCAGCATAACGTCGAGCCGTCGTTTAACCTTTTTACCACTTTTTTAAAATGCAATATAGTGACAACTGCCTTTCAATTCAGAGGCGCCTAGACCTCCCCGACCACTTCTTAGTAGAGGCGCCCAAACTAGGTAGAGAGTGGTTTAGGAGCTTCTTTTTTATTAAACCACGTAAAGAGTCCTTTTATGAAAGCGGCGCCCCGTTCACGAGAGGGTGGGTGATGGGTGACCATGAGGCGTTCAACGTCGAGGTATCCCTGACGAAATCGGAGAAGGAAGGCGCCCGACTTATTTCATTGCACCCTGTTTGCCTTAAGTCCACTGAGGCTCGGACTCCTGTTCTACACGAATATTATCGTGACGGTGGGCTCTTGTTTTAAATGCGCCTGCTCTCTTTCCTTATTGTTTTTCATGTCTGTTTTACATGTTCCCTTTGTATTGGTTTGGCAGGTTCGGACTTCACCTCAATCGCGTCCCTGATGAAGTCCCAGTTTGCAAAACTAGGCTTAGTGGCCAAGAAGGCGCCCAGCTCAAGGAAGGGTGCCAAAAAATCCGAAGGGACAAGCAAATCCACTTCCTCAAGAGGGGGGAATTCCAAATCGAACAAGTCTGCTGCTGCTGAGAAACAGGCGCCTAAGTCTGCGAGGGGAAAGGACAAGGGGCGCTCAACCAAAAAGAGCAAATCTCCCAAGAGGGTTCAGGCAAATAAAAATCCCAGTCCTCCGGCGTCCGATGCTGTGGATGACACCGTTGATACATGGGAGGCGCCCCACTTCACGGAGGCCATTGACGCCTCAGCGCCTGTTATTGACTTGCTTCAGGGGGGAGGATGTCGCTGAAGATGAGATACCTTTGTCTCAAAGATTGAAGAGGAAGGTAGAGGGCGCCCATGTCGAGTTGAGCAAGCGCCCCCGTCTGGACGACGATGTGGAACTGCCCGAGTCACTGCAGAAATGGCTTCAACCACCGAAGCACAAAGTGACTCTGGTTTGCTCGGATCGTGCAGCATTGGAGCGGAGCGCTGCCGTCCACATGGCGCTGTCCGCTAGAGATGTGCTCCGGGCGCCCCTCGACCTAGCAGCCGCTGACCCCTTGGCCGAAGTGTGCCGCCTAAACGCCCAGGTAAGTAGTTCATCCTTTATTTTTTTACGTTTTGTGCTTTCGACTATTCATTGACAGGCGCATAATTATCGTTCTTGCAGATGATGCTTGCTGCACAGAAAGCTATCAGGGAACGTGAGGCCTTGCGCGCCGAGGCCACCGAAGCGACCACCTCGCTCGGCGTGTACCAGGATAACCTCGAGACTGCGAGAAATCGTCAAGAAGAACTCATAAAGATGTGCGAGGATGCCCAACTCGAGACCGCTAAGAGCGCCTCGCTTTTGCAGCGCACAGTTGATGAAGAAAAGGCGAAATTGCGCAAAGAGTATGAGGCGCAGATTGAGGATGAAAAGAGGGTGCATGAGGAGACCAAGGTGAAGCTGGAAAAAGAGCTACTCGACTCAGAGAAAGAGTCAGGCGCCTACAGAAGTGAGATCGACATCGTTCGACAAGAAAGGCGTGCTTTGAAGAAACACAAGAAGGTGTTGGGGAGAGAGAATGAGAAGCAAGAGAAGGAGATACAGGCACTCCAAGAGGAGAAGAAGGCGCTTGAAGGTGAGAAGCAGGCGCTCGAAGCGCGGGCGGTGGATGGCAGCTCATCCGATTCAACCCAGGCGCTTAAGGCTTCGGCGTCCTTAAACATCATTCTGATCTTGCGAAAGAAGCTGCTGGGCGATCATCCTAACATTGATTGGGATGTCAACTCCATGATGAGCTTCGTGATTTCCTACTTGGAAAGCGGGCGCCCAATAACAGACGAAGCGCCTGATGATGATGGTGAAGGAGACGATGATGGTGATGACTCTTCCTCCTCCGAGTCCGACAGCGGATCAGCCGAGTAGTTATAGGCGCATAATGACATTGTTTATGTATCAAATGACAATTTCATTTTCCGCTTTTCCTTGCTTGATGACTCTTTTGCGCTTATTTGACTAGTCATTTTATTTCGCCTAAGTTATTTCTCCTTTGCCTAAGTTATTTCCAAAGTCTGCTTTTCGTATGCAACTTACCCGCTTTTGCCATATAAGGGGCGCAACGATGGGCGCTTTATACGATGAGGAGCTATAGAGCGGGCGCTTTACACGACATGGACGCAAAGATGGGCGCTTTATATGATGTGGGCGCAAAGATGGGCGCTTTATACGATGAGGGCGCTATAGAGCGGGCGCTTTAAAGAGTGAAGGGCGCATTGGCTTGGGCGCTTTTGTTGCATCCTTTCTCAAAGCTCTATTTCATATTAATTAATCCGATTTTTCAAAAGTATGGGAGCAAAAGAGGGCGCTTTACAAAATAAAGGGCGCTTTGATTCTACGGCGCGTTAGGGCGCTTTTGGAGACAGACAAAGAAAAACCTATTAACCACTGGAGATTTGCCACTGACTACCTCCCTCGGAGGCGCCTACTCTGCTACATCAGTCATTGTACCCACTTCTTCTTCACTCTCAGCGTCCATCATGCTTAACTCCCCGGCCTCATATCTTCACAAGTTTTGGGCATTCCATGTTCGCTTCACGTTCTTACCCGACAGGGTTTCCAATTTGAATGTACTTGGGCCAACAACCTCCTGAACACGATATGGACCTTTCCACTTCGGGGCCAATTTTCCCTCGGTGGCCTTGGGGCGAAAATCACGCTTTAACACCAGGCTTCCTTTCACAACGTTGTGTGCCCGCATCTTTTTGTTGTAATACCTTGCTACCTGCCCTTTCATTGCTTCCAAGCGTAAGGCTGCCACCTCTTGGCGCTCATCCAACAGGTCCAGCTCGTTGATGCTCTCCTGGACATCCATTGATTCATTACGGTGGGTCATTCTGAAGGTAGGCACCCGCATTTCCACCGGCAAAACGGCCTCACTGCCATAAGTCAATGCAAAAGGTGTTTCTCCCGATGCCACCTTGAAGGTAGTCCTGTGCGCCCATAAGAAACTTGGCAGCTCCTCAACCCACTTGCCCTTTGCCTCCTCTAACAGTGTGTGCAACCCGTGCAATATGCTTTTGTTAGCTGCTTCAGCTTGCCCATTGGCTTGAGGGTAGGCCACAGACGAGAATCGCAATATCACTCCATTTTCATCGCAGAATTCGACGAATTTCTTGCAATCGAATTGCTTCCCGTGGTCAGTGACAATGGATTCTGGGAGTCCAAACCGCGCAAAGATGTTCTTCTTGGTAAACTTCCGCACCTGCGCCTCCGTGATTGACGCCAATGGTTCTGCTTCAATCCATTTGGTGAAGTAATCCACCGCGACAATTAAATATTTGAACTGTCCAGGCGCCTTCGGTAAGGGTCCCAAAAGGTCCATACCCCACTGGGCAAAAGGCCAGGCGCCCACATTCCCTTGCATGGGTGCCGCTGGGAGATGTACGTCGTTAGCGTGAATTTGGCATTGGTGACATGCAGCCACGTGCCTCCAAGCGTCCGCCCGTATTGTGGGTGATGACTCGATATTTGCACATGTTTTCCCCTTTGTTTCTTGATTGTTTGAGCTTTAATTATTGCGTCTTTGGCCTATTTTACACTAGGTTGTGTTCCTTTGTCACATTTCAGGTCCTAGTACATAAAGTGAAGCATAGGCGCAAGTTTCAAGTCAATCAGAGATCAATTGGCGATTAGGGAGAAGAAACTCGGGCATGAACTGAAGAAGAATGAATTTCTACCTCAATTTATGGACAAAGAATCATGCAAGCTTGTCATGAAAAGAAAGAGGACGAGACTACGAGCGTCCGGGATCAAACGGCGACAGATTCGGAGTCCGGACGAGGGAGAAACGAAGCATTGAATATAGGGGAACAGGTTCGGCAGTAAAAACACGGGCGCGCCTAAATCAAAACACGGCCGTGCCCATATTTAGGCACGACCGTGTTTTGGCCGACGCGCGCGAGCGTGTTTTTAACACGGGGCAAGACACGGGCGGTCAAAAGCAAAGCACGGCCGTGCCCTCGACCGTGTTTTGCCCAGAATTAGGTTTTTTAACGCAAATTCGAGCCAAAGGAAAGGGAGAGCTGGGTTTTGGATCCCAAACACCCAAGGGACGAACCAAAGAGAGAGAGGGCGATTTGAGGGCATTCTTGGAGTGGAATTGGAGGAATTCTTTGCCTTGGAAGCTCGAGGAACAAGCCCGGACTTGAAGACTGATCATCTGAAGATTCTTACTGCAGTCTCTCTCTTCTCTATGGAGTAACTTCCCTTCACTTAGGTTTTGAGGAACCCTAACTATGTTTGTTTGATTGGATGATTGTATGATTACTCTGACTTGATAATCTTGAGTTCATATTCAATCTATGCATGTTTTCATGATTCAATTCTGCTTTAGTCGAGATTATTGATTCTGCTTTGATCCTATGAGAGCGAATACCTGATTAGGTCAATAGAGCACCATAGATTGATAGTAGTGGATCGATTGCTTTAGTCGAGGGTTGATTCACTGCTTTGTATCGATTGAGAACCTCTTTCGATAGAGGGAGTCTAGTTCAGAACGCCTTGATTGGTTGTTCTAGAGAAGGATACTTCCCTCTAGGCAATTGACTCAAGAGGCCTTGTTCCTTTAGTCGAGACTCAAGGTCTAGTCAAGGATTCTCCGCATTGTGAATGAAAGAGAAACAAGTTAGAAATCATGAATCGTTAGTCTGGCTAGTGGCTAGGGAGAATCATACCTAAGTGAGTTCCCAACCTGTAATTAGATTAACTTTAACTGTAGTTTGCTAGAGTAGTTTTAGTTCTTTCATCTTAATCTGGTTTGCTAAATAATAAACTGAAGTTGAGTAATAGTAACTCTAGAGACCCGTGGATTCGATATTTATCACTTGAGCCACTATACTGCAGTCCCTTTCATTGGTTACACTTGGCCTTTGTTAGGAGTTGTGTTATTGCGAGTCAAGTTTTTGGCGCCGTTGCCGGGGACTTTCTAGAGGATTAGGAAAGGCAGAAGTTTGTTACTTTAGCATTTTTCTTTTCTTTTCTTTTCTTTTCTTTTCCACCCTTGCTTTTCACTTGGGTGTGTTTGTTTTTGTTGGTGCAGATCTTAATCATGGATCATCATGGCTTCTCCAACAATTGGGGGTATCCACCACCACCCGAGTGGTATTACCCCGAGACTCCCTGGAGCAATCAAGGAGGAGAAGACTATGGATTCAGGTTCCAGTACCAACCCCTTACTACGGAGAACAACCGGACCCATGGGCATATCAAGAACAACCTCATTACCAAGAAGAATTTTTCCCACAACCAGAGGGGCCATTGGAGCTGGAATTACCCATGGCGGCCTTCACGGGCCATTCTGCAGAGCCATGCTACACTCCACAGCCAGATCCACACTATGAATTGAGACTTCTCATGGAGCAGTTTGCTCGAGACTGTGATAGAACATGCTCCAGGATGGATCATTGTGTCCAGGCCTGTCGTGAAACAGAGGAGATCCTCCTGAGCCTTAAGAAGAGCGTCGATGATCTTGAGCGATCTTGGGCACAACCTGCTCCATATCACCCTTCTGCTACCATACTAGAAGAGGAGGAGGAAGAAGAAGGCTACAAGGACATTGTGGAATACACAGAAGTTGTCACGGAGAGCTCCCGTGATGGTCATGATCAGGAATGTCCTGTCGTAGCCGACCACACCTTCCCACACCCCAAACTGAGCTTTGAAGAGGCGGGCATGAGTGAGGAGATGCAAGAAGATCTCATGAAAGAAATTGCTTGGCAACTTGCTCTCCAATCCGTGCTAGAAGAAGAAGAGCAAGAAAGGGTGCAGAAAGTAGTTGTGGAGGATGACGAAAGTGAAGCAGGAGGAATTCTTGATCATTTCCCAGGGGTGATACCACATAAAGAAGGAAGGGAGGTTGAAGAAGAAATTGGCGTCCAGGCTGAGGACGGAGTTAAGGTGGAAGAGGCCTGCACCGGCCATCAGTTACATGTGATATCTCCACCAAACTTCGAGGAACTGCTTAGCATGGACCCATTTGCAGTGTCTCTTTGCCAGACCAAGGCCACATCGACATCGGTCCCTCTTGGTGGACGCGATGGTGGTCAATCGATGCTGTCATATCTGGTTTGGGGAAATGAGATGAGAGAAAAGAAGAAGAGGTCTCGAGGGTGGAGACGTTATCTACATCAAGTGCACGAGCTTCCATCACCTGTCATACCACATGCTCGTGACTTGAGACTCCACCTCATCGACGAGAACCTCAACTTCAAGGAGGTTTTGAGGTGGACCGAAACTTAGGAGCCATCGTCCGGCTCACGACGTGAAAGAAGCGCTTGTTGGGAGGCAATCCAACCAGTCGGTTTGCATTTCTTTCTCTATTTCTCTTCGGTTGAGTCAGTTTTGTTCTTTGATTTCAGAGTCAATAATTCAACCTTTGTGAGATTTTTTGTGGTGTTTGTGTTTCGACTACTTTGTCCTCCTGGAATGCACCGCCTTCCCCGTCCACAATCATTCACCGTTGATATGGTAACTTCGTTCTACCCTCCTTATCTTTCCTCCATTGAGGACAATGTCGTGCTTAAGTGTGGGGGGATGTTCGATTATGTATGTGTGTGAATGTTTGACTGTTTGTGTGCTTGGAGCCTAGTCCACTGTCCAAATTTCGATTTGAGGGCTCCAAGTACGTGTTCCTTGAAATTGCCTACTCAGTATGCTTTGAATTGACAGTCTTTATAGTAATATGCAACCTAGGGAGGTAGTGTAGCACTATGGAGGATGTTGATGCATTTAAGATGTCTCATTTCTTCTTCATATTGTGTTGGTTGATTGAGTGAATTAGTGATCTTAGGACCCCTGAATTGTGTGGTGTTGTGGACTCTCTACCTGTCATGGACTCTTGTTTCATGTTTTGAGTTTAACAGGTGCTCGAAAATGTGCTTTAAAATAACGTCTCCCGTGCGAATAGGGCGAAAGTGTGTAAGGGGAGACGGGAATTCGTTCCCAAATTTCACCTACTACCTCCAGCCCCCTTACATGTCTTTCCCCCGCACGAGGCTCGAGACACCCGCTCCTGGCATGGCCGGTAAGAGCCGGGCTCCAGCAAAACCTCTGCTAGGTGGGAGCCCCCATTTTCTGAAAAGCAGGTTGGGACCCTTGAAAAAAAAAAGAAAAGGAAAAATAACAGAAAACAAGCAAAACATAAAGAAAAGAGGTTCCAACCGTCTTCAAAAAGAAAATAAGAGCACCTTGAAAAATGTGATTCCATGATTTTTTTTTAGAGTCTCTTTGTCCATGATTCATTTGTCCTCTGTTCACTATTTGCCATGATGCCGACTCGAGACTAGCGTTCTCGCCGAAGAAGCTATGAGATGACTTGTGCGTCGGTTGACATCGTAAGCTGCTAAATGATCTAGAAAATTCTCTATCAACGATCGAGGGTGCATGTTGCAATAGAGGTCTGGAGAGCTGCATTGGTTTGAGTTAGGTTTGCTTGGGGACAAGCAAACGGTTAAGTGTGGGGGGATTTGATGACTCAATATTTGCACATGTTTTCCCCTTTGTTTTTTGATTGTTTGAGCTTTAATTATTGCGTCTTTGGCCTATTTTACGCTAGGTTGTATTCCTTTGTCACATTTCAGGTCCTAGCACATAAAGTGAAGCATAGGCGCAAGTTTCAAGTCAATCAGAGATCAATTGGCGATTAGGGAGAAGAAACTCGGGCATGAACTGAAGAAGAATGAATTTCTACCTCAATTTATGGACAAATAATCATGCAAGCTTATCATGAAAAGAAAGAGGACGAGACTACGAGCGTCTGGGATCAAACGGCGACTGATTCGGAGTCCGGACGAGGGAGAAACGAATCATTGAATATAGGAGAACAGGTTCGGCAGTAAAAACACGGGCGCGCCTAAATCAAAACACGGCCGTGCCCATATTTAGGCACGACCGTGTTTTGGCCGACGCGCGCGAGCGTGTTTTTAACACGGGGCAAAACACGGGCGGTCAAAATCAAAGCACGGCCGTGCCCTCGACCGTGTTTTGCCCAGAATCAGGTTTTTTAACGCAAATTCGAGCCAAAGGAGAGGGAGAGCTGGGTTTTGGATCCCAAACACCCAAGGGACGAACCAAAGAGAGAGAGGGCGATTTGAGGGCATTCTTGGAGTGGAATTGGAGGAATTCTTTGCCTTGGAAGCTCGAGGAACAAGCCCGGACTTGAAGACTGATCATCTGAAGATTCTTACTGCAGTCTCTCTCTTCTCTATGGAGTAACTTCCCTTCACTTAGGTTTTGAGGAACCCTAACTATGTTTGTTTGATTGGATGATTGTATGATTACTCTGACTTGATAATCTTGAGTTCATATTCAATCTATGCATGTTTTCATGATTCAATTCTGCTTTAGTCGAGATTATTGATTCTGCTTTGATCCTATGAGAGCGAATACCTGATTAGGTCAATAGAGCACCATAGATTGATAGTAGTGGATCGATTGCTTTAGTCGAGGGTTGATTCACTGCTTTGTATCGATTGAGAACCTCTTTCGATAGAGGGAGTCTAGTTCAGAACGCCTTGATTGGTTGTTCTAGAGAAGGATACGTCCCTCTAGGCAATTGACTCAAGAGGCCTTGTTCCTTTAGTCGAGACTCAAGGTCTAGTCAAGGATTCTCCGCATTGTGAATGAAAGAGAAACAAGTTAGAAATCATGAATCGTTAGTCTGGCTAGTGGCTAGGGGGAATCATACCTAAGTGAGTTCCCAACCTGTAATTAGATTAACTTTAACTGTAGTTTGCTAGAGTAGTTTTAGTTCTTTCATCTTAATCTGGTTTGCTAAATAATAAACTGAAGTTGAGTAATAGTAACTCTAGAGACCCGTGGATTCGATATTTATCACTTGAGCCACTATACTGTAGTCCCTTTCATTGGTTACACTTGGCCTTTATTAGGAGTTGTGTTATAGCGAGTCAGTGGGCCAGTAATATCCTTGGCGAAGCAAAATCTTTTCAAGACTCCGTGCGCCTGCGTGCATGCCGCAAGTTCCTTGGTAAACCTCGTTGATCGCCTGTAACCCCTCGGCCTCAGTAAGACATCTCAGGTAGGCGCCTGAGTGTGATCTTTTGTATAATGTCCCATCCACTATGGTGCACCGAGCTGCCTTTCGTCGCAGGCGCCAGGCCTCTTTCGAGTCCTCAGGAACCACCCCCTATGTGAGAAAGAGCCAAATTGGTGCCATCCAACCTTCTTCAAACCCCGATGATATGGATGCCATTATCACATCCTCGTGGGGCACCTCCTTCGTTACAATCACCGTTCGATTCTCCTCAAAATCTAGCGCCGTCGCCAGCTTGGACAGGGCATCTGCATGCGCATTCTCTTCCCTTGGGACATGCGTGAATGTGACTTCACGAAACCAGGCGCATTTCTTGCGTACAGAGTTCACATAGGCGCCCAACGTTTCCTCCTTTACCTCATAGACCTCATTCAGTTGGTTGACAACTAGTGCTGAGTCGGATTTGATGTTCACCTTCTGAGCGCCCAATTCCCTGGCCATGTGGAGCCCTGCCAAAACAGCCTCATATTCTGCCGCGTTGTTTGTTTTGAGCGTCGCAAAGCGCAAGGCTATTTCATGCAAGGCGCCTAAGGGACTCACAAGGACAATTCCCGCCCCCGCACCTAGTCGACTTGCTGCACCATCCACATGCACCTGCCAACATTCTTCAGCTTCTGTTCCTCCATCTGAGACACCTTCAGCAATGAAATCAGCCAAAACTTACGCCTTGATGGCGGGGCGAGGCGCATAGCTTACATCAAATTCGCTCAGTTGTACCGCCCACTTCACCAGGCGCCCTGATACGTCCATGGATCCAAGGACGGTTCGAAGAGGAAGGTTTGTGAGAACCACAATGCTGTGAGCTTGGAAATATGGCCTGAGCTTGTTTGCCGCCATCACCACTGCCAGCGCAGCCTTTTCTATAGGCCCATATCGTGTTTCATGGCCTACCATGGTACGACTAACATAATACACTGGTCTCTCTTCATTCGTATGTGGGTCCCTGGATATGAGAACCGCGCTCACAGCAATGTGGGACACTGCTTTATACAAATACAACACTTCTTTGGCCTTGGGCGCCGTCATCACCGTAGGGGCCGTGAGCACTTTCTTCAAGTCGTCGAATGCTCTGCTACACTCCTCGGTCCACTTGAATTTGGAGGCTTTTTTCAAAACCTTAAAAAATGGGGCGCCCCGGTCGGAAGCTCGGGGAATGAAGCGCCCAAGCGCGGCCAATCTGCCTGTCAATCCTTGCACTTCTTTCGGAATTCGGGGGGGGGGGGGGCGCCAAACCCAATATCGCCTCCACTTGTTTGGGATTTGCTTCAATCCCCCTCTTGGTTATCATGAATCACAGGAACTTCCCCTCTTCTGCTAAAAACACACATTTCTTAGGATTGAGCCTCAGCTTGAAGAAGCGCATTGTCACAAAAGTTTCTCGTAGGTCCTCGATGTGGTCTAGGCACCTCTTGCTCTTCACAATCAGATCATCCACATATGCCTCCAAGTTTCTCCCTAGTTCCTTTCGGAAGACTTGGTTGACCATTCGTTGGTAAGTTGCCCCCGCGTTCTTTAGACCGAATGCCATCACTCTGTAACAGAAATTACCAAAAGGTGTCATGAAAGCTGTCTTCGCCCTGTCCTCCTCTGCCATGGGGATTTGATGGTAACCCGAGAACATGTCGAGAAAGCTAAGCGCCTCGTGATAAGCCGTCGCATCTTCCAGCAGGTCAATACGTGGCATAGGATAAGCATCTGTGGGGCATGCACGGTTAAGGTTCATAAAATCCACACACATTCTCCAATCTCCCGATGGCTTTGGGACAAACACTACGTTCGAAAGCCAAGAAATGTATCTTGCTTCCTCCAAAAATCCCGCCTCAAGCAACCTATCCACCTCCCGACGGAGTGCTTCTTCCATTTCCTGGGTCAAATTCCGACGCTTTTGTTGAACGGGCCTCTTGCCCTCCTCCACAGCCAGCCTGTGCATCGCTATCTCAGGCGACACGCCGGGCATGTCCTGCGCACTCCAAGCGAATAACTCTCCGAATTCGCGCAACAATTCGATCAACGGAGCCCTCATGTCCTCGGGCGCCTGATCCGATATTCTCACTTGTCGTTCTGGGCGCCCTTCATCAATTGCCACAACCAATTCCCCGTCCACAGATTCAGCTCTGGGCGCCTCCTCAGGTCGGATGTCAATGACATTCAGCCTGTGTCGTCGGACGCCTCGCTCCACCTCTCGTGCATAACGTGGGGCGCTCCTTCCTCGCGAGATGCCTATACCCTGCGGCGCCACGAACTTCAATGACTGGTGACACGTAGAAGCCACCCCATTAAATTGTGCCAATAAGGGGCGCCCTAGTATAACATTGTATGGTGAGGGGCAATCCACAATTCCGAACTCTATCGAGTGAGTTACACAATGTACTTCATCTCCCAGAGTCACTGGAAGCCGCGCTCGCCCGTTGACTTGGGCGGGCGTCCCTAAAAACTCTATTAACACCGAGCTTGAAGGCCTTACTAACTCTGGCGCCAGCTGCATGCGCTCAAACGTACTTTTGAATAGGACATCCATTGAACTACCCGTATCCACCAACATTCTCTTCACCTTGCATCCCGCTATCACGCCCTGTATCTCCAATGCCTCCTCTGATGGAACTTGACATGCCTACTCGGGTTCCTGGTTGAAGTGTATTTGCACCGCCGCCTTTGCTTCGACCGATGCCGCTCTTAAGCGCCTTGTCCTCTCCAGCTTATCCCTCAAATCAAGGGTTCCGGTAATCGAATCCACCGTAAGCCTCACGCGGCTGGGGTCACCATTTTGATCCACCTCAAAGGGTGGTGGGGGTATCTCAGGCGCTTGTTGCACCCTTGCCTCATTAGGTGTTTCTTGCATCTTGGGCGCCGTGAGCGGCCCAGATACCTTTGATTCGATGTGCGTGATAGGTGCCCGTTCTGCCATTCTTGCCGTGTAAGTGCGATGGGTCCTGTACTCCCCCCTTCTGATGAAATCGTTGAGCATTCCCTTATCTGCCAACGTTTGGAGCTCGGCCTTCACCTGATAGCAATCAGTTGTGTAGTGCCCTTTGTCTCGATGGAAATCACTGTACCGATCAAGATTTTTCTCGTTTGGTTGTCCACGCATCGGTCACGACCATCGTATGTGATACCCTCTTTCCTTGACGTATTGCAAAACATTCTTCAGTGTATCATTGAATTCAGTGAAGCTTCCCAATGATCTTGATGCCGGGCGCTGCACATCTGGTCTCCTTTGAGGCATGCCACTTCCTACTGCGGGCCTTGGCGCCTGCCTGCCTTCTATCTCTTCGCCTCTCATGCGCCTCTTTTCGGCTCTACGCGCTGCCAACGTTTCTTCCAACATAATTACTTTTTGCACCCTTCGATCCAAGTCTTCAGTAGACACTACATCTCGCTTCGAGAGGGGTCGGCACAACTCTTCGCTGGTCGTGCAGGCGTCTAGACATACCCCCAGTACCGCTGGTTGCACATCCTTGACCGCCATGGCGACCGAAATCCATCGGTCATAGAATTCCCTTAGCACTTCTCCCTCTCTTTGTCTTACTTTGAATAAGGCGCCTATGGTTAGAGTTCGACGCTTCCGGCTAGCGAACTTAGACAAGAACAACTCAGCAAATTGTTCGAAGCATTCGATGCGCCCTTCATCAATTTGATGGTACCAGTCCAGAACCACTCCCGCGAACGTGGACGGGAACACCTTGCACAACGTTGCATCTGAGCTATTGTATAGTTGCATTTTGGTGAAGTAGCTATTCAAATGGTCCTCCGGGTGGGCCACCCCATCATAGCTTGGCAATGGTGGTATCGTTGTTCCGGCCGGCTCCATCAAGATGTTTCGTGCAAGCGGTTGTCGAACACCAAAGCGTTTTTCAAGACGCCTAGGCGCACACACATTAGGTTCCTCAATGCCATTTGCCTGTGGTTCAGCTTGCTGCCTCCAAGTGCGTGGGCGCCCTTGATATCCAGTGCCTAAGTCAGCATGGTGTGGAAGCCCGTATTGCATTGACTCGGAGTCTTCGTTCGCCCTCTCCCTCTTTCTGATACCCGGACTATACGTCATCATGTCTTCACTCCTTCCCCCTTCTATTACCCTCCTAAGCGCTGCAATGGCCCTATCTTGATCAGCGATGATTCGAAACAACTCTCTTTTCGTCAACGACTCATCTTCACGCGGTGACAGGCGCCCATGGCTAGCTTCTCCTTCCACATCCATAGGCGTCTCCGGACTCGACTGGCGCTCACCATCCCCCAAATTGGAACTCTCTGATCGGATAACGTCCTCTCCTCCATTCTCCTCATCAAAGTTTTCCATGCGCCTAGTGACGATGTCCCCCCTACCTGGCGCGCCAATTGTTTAAGCCAACACACTCCGTACCTAGATTCTCTTTCCTTGCAGATCGCGATTGCCGCCAGGCGCACAAACAAACGCCTAGTGGGCTTGGTTCGCCCATTAGCACTCCGAAGCTTAAGTCAGAGTCTGCTTTTAGAGAGAGAAGTAAGCTGAGGATTTTAGTGAGAGAAGCCAACCTGCGTAAATGCTACCTACCGGGTACTATTTATACTCGCCGAGGTCCCAACGGTCTTCCTGGCACTTCAACCCACGTCATCTCCTCATTTAATGCATGGTACGGTACAACAGTCAGGCGCCTATACGTGGCCGCTTCAGAACGCCCCAAAAGCGGCTCCCAGCAGGGACCACAGTCGCCAGGTGGCTCCTTTCCCTGCTCGCCCTTCCGTACCCCTTGTCCTCATGCTTCTTTTGTCGTCATGCGCCTGCCCTACACTGAGAAGCCTAACCTATTGTTTGGGCCTGTTGAAACCTAACCTATTTCTTTTTGGGCCTGTTTCACTATTCTATCCTTATGGGCCTGAGCCTGTTTATACTTCCCCAACAATTGTCCCCCAGTTAGGTGCTCATAATCAATGGGCGCCTAACTATTGACCGATACACCTACCCCTTTCTTAGCACGCCTTACACATCATCGTCATCATCCTCAACCTAACCCTCACTCTCATCGTTTTTATTTGTTTAAGTACTAATATCATTACTCTTATGATCACTTGAAGTACTTTCACCATTAACCATATTTTCTTGATTACCATCATCTGGAAAAGATAACTAATTGATTGATGCATTCCCTTCTTAATTAATAAAAGTTCGGGTTAGTGGTGCTGAAGGATTGGGAGATGAACAAAATCTTGCAATGTAATAGAGATTTGGATTATTGTGAGGGTGGTGGGAACAAACTACAAACTAATTGGGAGGGTGGAAGATATCGTTGATGGAAGGAGTTGGGCGCGAACGTGCGAAATAGGAAGATACGAGGAAGAGAATGAAATAAATTGAGGGTTAACTATCAGGTTGGGGTTGTGTTGTTCATTATGTTGGATTGGGGAAAGTAAATTTGACTCGGTTCATGGGCATAACTAACTTGACCGGCCTAATTTTGATCCAATTGATATGAACCTTGAAATCGTACAAAATCGTAGAAATCGTAGATTTTAAGGATTTTAGAGTTCTAAATCGGGATTTTATAGGATTTTAAGGTTCAAAGATGTTAGGTTTGATCGTAAGATTTTAAGATTAAAATCGGGATTTTGACTACATTGTGTACCCCAACTTCCCTTCCCCACTCGCCTACACAAAGACAAGCTGGAGACTGAGCTTTCCAAGTTTATGGCAACATACTGTTTGTGGAGGCACTGTCGAAGATGCCCAAGTACGCGAAGTTCATGAAAGATCTCCTCACCAACAAGAAGAAACTTGGGGATCTCTCGACAGTGTTGCTGAGCGAGGAGTGTTCTGCTATCCTCCAGAACATATCCTGTTGATTTTGTTATTCTTGATATACATGAGGATGTGGATGTGCCTTTGATTCTGGGTAGACCATTTCTTGCCATCGCCAAGGCACTTATTGATGTGCATGATGGTAAACTGATCCTGCGTGCTGGGAATGAACAGGCTACTTTTTCTATAACTGAATTCGATCACTGTGCAATGATTGTTGTCACACCTATGCATGCCATTTCTGATCAGGTACACCCGCCTGTCGTGTATCCTTCTGCACCTCACATTTTGCAGGACCCTCCTATCATTCCTTCGCCGCCACTCCATCCAGTCTCGCCTCCGAACAAAAAGCTCAAGGAGGAGTGGCGGCCGAAGCCGCAGGTGGCTAAGCCTGTTCGGAAGAAAGGTGGAGACCACTATGAGGTGGTCCCACCTCCTGCACCACGACCACCCTGGCCGTCCTAGTACTCTCTCGCCTGCATCTTGCCGGATGGCCAGGTCGAGCTGACCGATGATGGTGGTCGCATCCGTCGGGTGCATGGCCACAACCTGAAGCTGTACCTCAAGAGCGACGTGGATCCGCTCTTGGAGGCACCTGTTCCTGCACCTCCCTGAGTATCCACCATGGGCGTCCAGTTAAAAGACGGTAAAGAAGCGCTTGTGGGGAGGCAACCCCACCACGGTGACTTTCTTTCTTTTGTTTTGAGTCGGATTGCAAACCGGTTTGGTTATGGTTTGTTTTCTTTTGTTTTGGCTGATGTATTATTGGGCTGAGCATTGGACCTAACATCTTGTGGTTGAGTTCTTCTGCTCCCTTTAGCTGTGATTTGTCCCAGACTGGTCCGCTTCCCGTCCCATGTAGTCCGTGCTCACCGGTAACATCGTTCCCCTTATCTTTCCCTCTTCTCCATTGAGGGCAATGTCGATCTTAAGTGTGGGGGGGGGGGGAGTTTCTCTTTTGGTCGCATTAGATCTGTTTGTGTGCTTGGAGCCTAGTCCACTGTCCAAATTTTTAAATTTGAGGGCTCCAAGTACGTGTTTCTTTGCAAATTGCCTGCTCAGTATGCTTTGAATTGACAGTCTCTATAGTAATGTGCAACCTAGGGAGGTAGTGTAACACTATGGAGGATGTTGAAGTATAAGATTTTTCCTATCTAGCTCTGTGCTGTGCCAGTTGATTTTGTGAATTAGTGGAGCTAGGACCGTTGAATTCATGTGGTAATGGTGACTCTATGTGGATTGTGGTATGGACTCGTGTATCGAACAGGGTGCTCGTGTGAAAAATGAAATGCAGTTGGTCCTCCATGTCAAAATCATTAAATCTTAAACATGGGGTAAGCCCAACGTGTGCGGCACCGTTCATTGCACCAAATCGGGTTTTGGAAGAGATTTTAGTGATCCTTAGTGGGGTACTCCTACAAGGTGAAGCTAAGCCGTCTCTAGTAGAAGTAAAACTTCCACCTGTTGAACGGTTTGCCTACTTGAGGATGTGTTTTTAAGGGCACGGATAGAGCTTCCGACCCCTCTTAATTTCATTGACCCTCCACACGAGTTGAGGAAAAGGAGTTAAAATAAGTACTCTAGCAAGCGCCAGATGTACAGAAATTGCTCTTGCTCGACTAATAAGGGTCGACCGTGTAAGAGAGTGCAGTTGGAACCCCCGCTAAGTGAATGAAAAAAAAGTAAAGTCAAAGTGAAAAAGGGGTTCCAACGGTGAAATGAAGTGAAAGAGCACCCCGGTACAACGAGTCCTTGGTTGTGAATGTTGTGAGTCCCTTTATCCATGAACTGACTGTCTTACTTCTACTTCTTCTCATGATCTTGGCTTGAGTCTAGTACTCGCATTGAGAGAGATAGGGGACGTCTTAGAAGACCAGTTGACCTCGTAAGCTGCTTTATGATCTAGAAAATCCTCTACCGACGATCGGGGTTGTTTGTTGCTATAGAGGTCTGGAGAGCTGCATTGGTTTGAATTAGGTTTGCTTGGGGACAAGCAAACGGTTAAGTGTGGGGGAGTTTGATAGACCAGTGATTACACATGTTTTTACCCCTATTCTTGAGCCGTTTGA